CACTAATGATAATTACAGGTTTAAAGAAATGTATGCTCATATGCCTGTGTATCTTTATTATGGAAGACTTCTCATGTGTTCGTCTACTTAATGCCCATGAGTTAGCTGTTTTCTTGGATTTGGATTTAACATTATTTTCATCTTGTGATTTTTCACAGGGCAACATTTGTTTTGAGACACCTTCTTGTTGCAAGTGCTGTATTTTGAGCTACCAAGTCAAGCCAACTTTAGGAGGTTATAAATGCATCCAGGTTGAGCTCATAGCCGAAATTGTCGCAGAAATCAATAGAATCCATTCAAGGTTTCCTAATTCGTGTCCCTGATTTATTTCCTTGTACAGACTTCTTCATATATTAACATCCACTATTCTGATGCCTTTCAATAGTTTATTGGAGATAGGCATGCAATTTTTCTCATTTCATTTTCAATTTTGTTGTTTTGTGTTTTTGTTTGTTAGTTGTTTTTCTTTTAGTCGTGTTTTGTACCTAATGCTCGGGGACGAGCATGTCTTAAGTTTGGGGGTATTTGATAATCCTAGGATTATACTGTTTTATCTAGGCTTTTTGACCGGATTTTGGATACTTCTTATGATGTTTTTTCCTGAATTGCAACTTAATTTCATATGTTTTATGTTTCAGGCCAAAACGTGCACTTTGAGCAAATAAAGAGCGGAATTGAGTTTCTGCACACAGAAGCAAGCGAATCTCATAATTCGGGAAAGTTCTGAAGCGGATTTGAAGCACTATGAAGCTTGTTTCTATTGGAGAGCACCAAAGATTGAAGATTCAAGCAAGGAAGCAAGCGGAGGGCAATTCTGTAATTTCAGAATTATTCATAACAGTTCGCCGCGGTGAAGTTCTTTCTTCGCTGCGGCGATGCATTCTTGGGAACTCGTTGCCGCGGCGAAGAATATTCTTCGCTATGGCAAAGTCTGCAAGTTCCAGTTTTTATTAAAACGCACAGTTTTATTTTAGGAAAGTTTTAGGTTTTGTTGGACCGACTATATAAGAAAAACTTAGCCATTTTAGAGGGGGTTCGACATTTTTTGGAGAAAAGAAGAGAAGATTAAAGATTAAACTCTTTGGATTCATCAAATAGGGAAGATTTTTGTTCTGTTTTCTTGATTCCAACATAACAAGCGAAGGTTTGAAATGGGAAGGATGGGATCTCGGTCCACTAGGAAAGTCAACGGGATTTCCCGAGTTAATAGTGAGGGCTACTGACTTGAGTAAAATAGTAGGAGTATCGTTTAATAAAAGATCATATTAAATAATGATGAACTTTATAATGACTTTATCTTTTCTGCAATTGTAGATTCACCAAAAATGAGCATAATGAACCTGCGACCGATAATCGAGAAAGAAAATAGGTTGGATGGATCCAATTTCTCAGACTGGTATCGTAATCTTTGGATTATACTCAAGTCGAAAAAGAAATTGTATATCCTTGAAAAGCCATACATGGCTGAGCCTGAGCCTGATCCTGATGCCACTCAGGAAGTAAAGGATACTTATCAAAAGTTCCTTGATGATGCTGATGGCATTCAATGCTTGATGTTAGCATCGATGACACCAGTGCTACAAAAGCAGCATGAGAATATGGACGCTGCTGCCATCATTCTACACCTCAAGGAGCTTTTCGAAGGAAATGCTTGAAATGAATTTAACATTGAGTTGGGAAAAGAGTCATTTCATGGTGAAACAGGGAACTATTTTAGGGCATGTGGTATCTAGTATGGGTATTGAAGTAGACAAAGCTAAGGTTGATTTGAGTGCTAGATTGTCGCCATTCACATTTGTGAAGGGTGTGCGAAGTTTTCTTGGTCATGCAGGTTTCTATAGGCAGTTCATAAAGGATTATTCTAAGATTAGTAAGCCATTATGTAATCTCTTGGCTAAAGAAACACCTTTTGATTTCAATGATGAATGCTTGACTACTTTTAATATTCTGAAAGATAAACTCACATCTGCACCTATTCTTATGTCACCTGCTTGGTCACTTCCATTTGAGTTGATGTGTGATGCTTCTAATTACGCATTAGGGGCAATTTTAGGATAGAGAGTAGGAAAATTGCATCATGTTATTCATTATGTGAGTTGTACTTTGAATGATGCACATATTAACTACTCGGCGACTAAAAAAGAATTCTTGGCTATTGTGCTTGCTTTAGAAAAATTCCTTTCTTATTTGATTGGTTCTAAAGTGATTGTGTTTTCAGATCATGCTGCATTGAGATATCTGTTGAGTAAAAAGGATGCTAAGTCCAGGTTAATCAAATGGATTTTATTATTAGAAGAGTTTGATTTGACTATCAAGGATAAGAAGGGAAGTGAAAATGTAGTGGATGACCACTTGCCTAGACTTGTGGAGACAACAAGCCATGAAGAGCATAATCAAGATGGAGAGTAACTGTAACACCCACATGGAGGCACGTAATTTAATTTATGCTCTTATACCTTTAGTTGATTTTTGCTAAAGTTATTTTGAGAAAATGTGAAGAAAAAGCCTTAAATTTGCATTAAGGGGTAAAATGGTCTTTTCACTGAAAATTAGTTGAAATTGTGGGGAGTGAAAAGAGATGGAATTTCATAGAGAATGCAATAAAAAAGAGGGCATTATGGTAATTGACTAAGGGACATAGATGGAATTTTAAAGAAAGTGTAAGGGCAAAATGGGAAACTAATATATAATTTTTATGTTATATCAAATTGAAGAGTGAAACCCTAGCCACTCTTATCCATTTGCAGGCCACTTTCACCTCCATATTCTCTCAAATTCTTCAACTCTTCTTCAAAGGAAATTCATAGGTTTTGGGTGTTTTTGAGTAGATTTTCAATCTTAAGCTTCTATAGGTAAGATCCTTGCACTAAGAAATGAATTTCAGTTTTTAAAGTGTTGATTTTGATGGTTTATGCTCATATGATTTAAAAGGAAGAGAGTTTGATCAAAGGAGATTCTTAAAGGGTTGAATTTGCTCATATCAAAGGTAAGTAAATCCTAACCTAAGTATGATTTAAGTTATGTTGTGTAGAGAACTTTCTTTATGCATATATATGTGTTATATGTATAATTGTTGATGGATTTGGTGTTGAATAATGATTAGAACCTATCCATGAGAAGTTGTGTTAGTGTAGTTGTTATTTGATGAATGTTTGTATGAGATTTGGAATAATTGAAGTGAAAATTTTGAAGTGTGTATTTTGGGCAGATTTTGTGTTAATTATGGAGGAGTTTATTCCAAATTTTTGGTGGCCTAAAATAGAGATAGAAGTGTAGCCAAATTAGTGTTGATTTGTGCACATGAATTGTTTGATGAAATGCCAAGGAGAAGTGCATGTATGAGTATGATTATGTGTTACCTTGGGATGTGTTTGTAGATGGTAGAGAATGACATGTTTGTATTCCATAATGCATAATTGCATTTAAATATGTGAAGTTAGAAAGAATTATAAGCATGAAACCATCTACATGCATACATATTCATAAGAGCATGAAAATGCCCTAAAATATGTTAAAGAGAAAATAGAAAGAAATGAGAATATTAAAGATATTCAAATCTGAATTTTTCTTAAAGAAGTGTAAAAAAAGATAAAAATAAGAGAGGGTTGTTGCGATGGGGAGCCGTGAGTGACATAGTCCCACATGCACGCCGTTTTTAGTAAGCGGCCTCAGAATTCAGAAAGAAGAAATGTACAGTCCGTTAGAAGTGTGTGCGAATGAGGACTGTACCCAGAATTAGAGAATTCACTCACACGGCCAAGGCTCCAAATCCATGCCTTAACCGAGTCTGATCGGCAAGAATAGAAAGAAAGAATAGATAAGAAAGAAAGAATATAAAAGAAAAGAAAGAAAGAATAGAAAAGAAAGAAAATATAGAAGAGAAAGAAAGAATAGAAAGGAAGAATAGAAAAGAAAGAAAGAATAAAAAAGAAAGAAAGAATAGAAAGAAAGAATGGAAAAGAAAGAAAAAATGGAAAAGAAAGAAAGAATAGAAAAGAAAGAAAAAATAGAAAGAAAGAAATAAATAAAAAGAAAAAGAAAACAGAATAAGAAAAATAGAAAAGAAAATACATCATTTATGCATTTGTGCATTTGCATCATGAATATGCATAATACAATGCTCATTATCATGGGTAGTGAAAAATATAGAAAACAGATAGCAAAACAGAGAAAGAATAGAGAAAGAACAGAGAGAAGAACAGGGAAAGAATAGTGAATAATCGGGATATGTGATGTAAGGAAAGAAAATTCGGAATTTTAAGCAACAGAGAGAGAGAAGGGTAGCATAGTGGGTTTACTTACTGAGCCATTAGTGGTCACTCCGTTGTTTTTAATGTTTTGCAGGTAATAGGTGAGTTGCGGTCGCTCGGAACATCACGCAATGGAAGGGTTGGGCTACACTGTCAAGTTGCTATTTTTGAGAATATTTTGTAAATATTTGTATATAAAGAAAAATTAAATATGGGCCCATATTTTATTACTCGTATATATATGTGTATTTTCTTTTATATATTTTTAATGAGTTTTAGTGATTATTTTATGAGTTTACTAGCTAGAAAGAAAGCATTACAGTAGCCCTTTATTGAGACCTTCCCTGATGAACAACTTTTTTCCATCCTCGGAAAAGAACCTTCGTATGCTAACATTTTGAATTATCTTGCATGTGGTATAATTGACCCTGATTTGACCTTGCAGGAAAAGAAGAAATTCTTATCCACTATTAAGCATTACTTCTGGGATGATCCTTGTTTAAAAGTTGTTCAGATCAAATAATAAGGAGATGTGTCCCTGACTCAGAGCAGCAAGACATTTTAAGACATAGCCATGAATCATCTTGTGGAGGAAACTTTGGTGGCACGAAAACGACACTTAAGGTATTGCAATCTAGATTTTATTGGTCGTCCTTATTTAAAGATGCTTTTACCTTTTGTGCAGGATGTGATCGTTACCAACGGACAGGGAATATTGGTAAGAGAGATGAGATGCCACTCACGACATTTATGTCGGTTGAGTTGTTCAATGTGTGGGGCATCGACTTTATGGGTCAGCTTCCTAACTCTTTTGGTGATACTTATATACTTGTCGCCGTTGATTATGTTTCAAAATGGATTGAGGCGATTGCCACAAAGACTAATGATAGTAAGGTTGTACTTAGTTTTCTTAAAGACTTTATTTTTACCCATTATGGTACCCTTAGAACTATTATTAGTGATGGGGGGAGTCACTTTTGTAACAAGTCTTTTGCAACATTGTTGAAGAAGTAAGACAATAAACATAAGGTGGCAACTCTATATCATCCTCAGACTTCAGGGCAAGTAGAAGTAAGTAACAAGCAAATCAAGGCCATTTTGGAGAGAACAGTTTGCATATCACAGAAAGATTGGGTAGTGAAACTGAATGATGCTCTATTGGCCTATCGGACAACTTTCAAGACTCCACTCAGAATGAGTCCCTATAGGTTAGTCTTTGGAAAAGTGTGCCATCTACCAAGGGAATTAGAGCATAGGACATATTGGGCGATCAAGAGATTGAACCTTGGCTGGACAAGGTTGGACATGAAAGGAAATTGCAACTAAAAGAGTTGAATGAGCTTAGGAATGAAGCGTATAAGAACACTAAGATCTACAAGGAAATAACTAAGCTGTACAACGACAAGAATTCCAATCAGGTATGAAAGTGTTACTTTATGACTAATGGTTGCGTCTTTTTCCAGGGAAATTGAAGTCAAAATGGATTGGGCCATTCATAGTTCAAGAAGTGTTCCCTCATGGAGCGGTGGAGATAGAAAACTTGAAGACAAGAAACCGATTCAAAGTTAATGGACACCGGCTACAAGCTTACCGAGAAAATTATGCTCCAAACAAGGAAATGGAGTACTTCAATGATCCTAAATGATGATTGAGCGTCCTGTCTAGCTTAAGACACTAAACAAGCGCTTTTCGGGAGGCAACCCAAATGTTTCTTTTCCTTTGTTTGTTTCATTTTTTTTTTTTTATTGTTTTTGTTTATTTATTTAATTTTATTTCAATTTACTATTTTAATTACATTGGGGGTGTGTTATTTTGTGTATTTTGTTTTATATGTTTGAATTTTCAGGAAATCTAACACTTAGTTTAATTTTTCCAGAAATTCCACTTCACGCCGCAACGCAACTTATTCAAGCTGTGGCGAAAATGTTAGGAAACGGTCTATATACGCAGCGGAAACAAAAAAATATAATACAAGGATTGTTTACATGAGCCAAGATCAAGGGAATAATTTTATAACTTATATTAAAGTAAAATCTGCACAAAAAGGTTAATCATGAGTTAAGAGAATCATACGCACGTTTGGAGGCTCCACCACATTTGTCTTTGAATGTTTTTGCTACCGACCCAACCGTAGAATCGAACCGACGTAGTCCACACGAAGACAGTCACAAAGAACCAAAGAGGGATTTGCTAGATCCTCTTTGGCTTTAAGATTAAAGAAGAATTGTAAAACCCCTCCCTAGCCGGGTATTTCCTAAGTATCCCTTGGCCATTGAGAACCTAGAAAACGCACGCCTAGGAAAGAAGTTTATTTTAAAATCCTATTTAAAGAATAAACTTGTAGTTTAAAACATATATATAGATATGTGTGGTTTATTTTTTTTTTTTTTTTCATAATAAGTTCATTGTATAATCAAAATATAATTTCCTTTCTTGGAGTAAATTATGAAATCCATAGTAATATTTACTAGACATACACACTTTTAATACACACTATTTACTCCATTTAAACATGGACATAAGTCTACATTATGAGGTATGAACATAATTACTACACTAAATACTAGCAAAACCATTCAAAGTCATAATTAAAACCTCCTTCATGCTCATAGCATCCCGCGAATCCTCTCCCAGCTTCATGCCCTAATCCTTACCTGCAAAACATTTTAAAACATTTCGTGGGGTGAGCGCTAATCGCTCAGTAAGGATATGGCCATTTATAACTATTAAGGTTCATTATACATCATTTTACAAGTATATTACTTAGGACCTTACCTACCTACAAAATATGACCTTCATCTTTAACATAACAAGTTCATAAAATATATCATACACTTGGGACTTTTCTCATAAACATAAGTCATAACATAATCTACTAATATAACTAGAACATATGACTTATGAAATATTCATGTACATGGCATGCTTTTTATCTTTTTGTCTTTATACTTGATTTTTCATTAGTCTTTGTTATCCGATCGGATTCATTTAAACCATTACCTTGTTCTTGGTCGTCACCTCAAAGGACTCATGGTTTCCATAAGAATTCCATTCCTCTGATCTTGGTTTATACCTCAAGAGACCATGATTCATTCTTTAACATTCATAAATTTTTCATAAGACAACTAAATAAGCTATATGCATACCATTATGAATGCAAACTATGGACTACATATTCCATGCTCAATCATACTATATCTCCTACTAAACTTCTTAACTTAATTCATTCAATTTCTCATACAATACAAAGAATTTCAGTAGTAAGATTATTCAGGGGTTTACTAGAATTAGAAAACAAATGGGAATGTCCATTAACAGGTGGATGCCATACAGTTTCTTACTTTCAAGCATTTTTCCATTATCTTCTAATTCGAATTTATTTTTGGCTAAAACATAAACGTTTTAGGTCTGTTTCTAAACTTTTTAACACTTCAGAATCAACTCAATCAGACTTCTATAACTTCAGTTATGACTGATTCAGTGAAGCATGTACAGTATAAGTCTAAAACAGCCAAATCCGAATTCTATTCCTTTTAACCATGTCACCTTCATTTGCACATTCATATTATTTGCACATTCATATTATTTGCCATATCATTCTAAGTTAAAAGCCATAAAACCTCCATTTTTACAGAACCAAAAAGTGCCAAACATCGTCCAACTACAAATCTCTTAATTGGCATAATCATCCTCCATATGCACACATACACCAATCACACCCCATCTAAACAACTCATAACCAACATAGCATCACACTCTATTACATAAATAAATGTAAGTTTCATAAACCCTAGTGTTATCAATTGTAGTCATAAGGAGATTTTTTCCTTACCTTAGTATTCAAAGCACAAAGATACTCCTCCTTGGCTCCAAAATTTCACCTTTCTATCTTACACACACAACCACTTATGAATTCTCTTTCTACCAAAAATTCACCAAAAATCAGAAAACTAGGGTTTTGAAACTCACCTTAAACCCTGAAATTGAAGTTCTTTAAGGGTGATGGTACTCCTTTGAAAATCAACTTGAAATCCTAAGAAAATTTGAGATAAAAGCTTGGATTAGTGGCTTTTATGGTGGATTTGAGAGATGAAGAAGAATGATATATTTGGGGTCTCCAAGGCCGACTACTCTCTTTTTAAACCTTGTAATATTCATTCCATTGATACTCTAATGTGATTGGTCAATAAAATTAGATATAAAGGTCATTTGGCATATTTTTCATATAAGGCGTTTTGGTCATTTCCACCACAACATAAAGATAGCACTCATTTAATGCCATTTGCTTCTTTGAACACTTATCCATTAAGCATCCCATTAGGTGAATGACTCATTTACCCTTGGTGCACTTTTATGGACACTTAATCATAGGTTTGTATGAAAGACCATATACCCTTGGTTACTGTTTACCCATTTAACCATATCAATCAACTTTATGACCATTCTACCCTCATTTCTATTCACTGACATCACCCCTTACACTTAATAATGGCCACATCTCGAAATACATGTAAATTGCCCATTTTACCCTTCCATTCAAAAAGAAAATTACTTGAAAAGTAAATTTCATACCTTAAGCATTGGAATAATAACGCGGGGTTTACAAGAATGAAATCAAAATGAATTGATTTTAGGCAAAATGGGTTTCTGCCGTGGAGAGAAATGGGGCAACAGTGTTTGTGTTTTCAAGGAATGAATAATGAAAAGTCTCATGATTTTACAAGAAAACAATTTTCTTTTATAGTAAAAATTAGTTACCCTATCCAATATGGAATAGGCTTGGGCTCCAACCCAAACACCCCTGTTACCAAACCCTCCCAATTAGATATTAATTTTTTATTTCATCATTATCTCAATTAAAATCAATTAATATATTTAATATATATATTAACATTAAACAATAATGATGATTTAATTAATATTTTGAACACATATTTAAACGTAATTTCACTTATTATTTTTCTAATTAAATAAAGGCTACGACCTTCAGCAAATTTAATTGTATTGTGAAATTACCAAAATACCCTTCCGCCTAAAAAGACAAACGCCCTTCCTTCTTCTTGGATCTTAAATTATCTTCTATGTTTGTGCCCATAGGCTCCTCATCAACCACAGTGTATAGTATCACGATTAACACCAATTAATCGTCTCACTGTACACAGACCAAGATTGGCCCTTAGCAAGGCATCATGCCACCCGATAGATTCAGATTCAGCAAAGTAGCTACCTGTCAACGATATGGTTACCGTACAATTCATCCTTTCATCATACGTTTCTCTCGCCGAGAGGGCATAGAAATAGTGTCAACCTTCGGTTACTCTCGATATTATGTATTCAGTTTCTGGATGAATGACCTGTATTATAATTCAGATAGAACAACAACTCAATCCCACTTGGCCACAGTTTTTGCCATTGCCATATCTGAATTGCGCCGTGAGATAACTTCTCCCGTACTCGGGAGTGATGAATCATTTGTCAATCCACCATAGTCTTGATACACTCCTCGATGCAGCCAATCACCACCGTATGACAACTCTGAATAGAACTGCGTTAGGCTAGTGTCAAACTGCACCAACACGTGCACAGGCCTCTGGTGATCTCAAGTCTAAGGATCACATGTACCACCATTCGTTAGAGTTTATCCCATAACACTGTTACCATCCATATGGGATCCTCTGGTGGGTCTCCAGTGAACTTGCTGCGGTGTATCCGCCTACAGCAAGCACCCATGTGTTGCACCAGGTTGTCACCAAACAACCTTGACAAGTGAGATCAGTCACTGCCTTTCGACAGGGTCGTTCAACACTATGATAGCCTTACCGTATTATCTGTACCCTTACTTCAGAATAATGCTAGGGCTACGGACGTTTCTAGAATGTCCACCATATATGCTCATAGGGTTCTCACTATCAAGATTTGAAACACTTGATACCCTCATCACGGTTCTACCATTCTAAGGACATATATCAATACATATTGCAATAATAATGATTTACGTGATATAGTATAAAATGCCTTTTATTGATTAATGAACATTATTACAAGAGTCAATTCCACAATAATTGATTGGCTCTAAGGCACCTACTCCAACAGAAAATGCAGTGATTTTGAAATTCAAATCCTTAATCATGCTGAGGCGCAAAATTTCAGGCCACAGGGAATTTATGTTGTTCTTCATTTTAAGCATTGAAAACTTGAATTACGTCGAGGCGCAAAACTTTGCACCGTGGCACAATTTGCATTTTATAAAATAACTCGTCAGATCTTAGCCGCATCGCAGCGTAGTTCTTCATTTTTCTCTTAAATTTTTCGATTGATCTTCCATATTTCTTGACGAAATCACTTCATTCATCACCTAAACACATGCTAAACACTTGATTGACATTGATTTTGTAGATTCATAATCGATTTTGGGCTGGATCGATTTGGGCATTTTTTATTTTAGGGCAAATACATCTCAATCCAAGGTTTTGATCACTGATTCCAATTGGGTAAGCATCCTAGACTACTCATTTGTGATTGTATTTGGATATTTACTACTGGAAAGTTGAGTTGAGTTGATTGATTGCTTTGGATATTGATTTGGGTGCGGATTGAGTGGATTGAGATTGATTTTTTTATTGTGTTGTGATTAGGTGTATTGGG